GCAAGCCTCTGAACAATGAATACAGAAACTATCTCTCTGTATCCAATGCTGCAAGTCCGCCATTCAATATATCTACAGCTCCTTATACACACACAAGGCAACCCCTATTTTTTTTCAATAATGGTGTTTGAGTTTTGCCTAAGGCCTCGCAAAGTCTAGAGCCGCCTTTGCTTTTGGAGCAGTAGTGGTGTATGTCGTGACATTCTGGTATGGAAACTTTCTGTGTTTAGTACACGCCTAACTGTGCTCATTAAAACTTCAGTGCCTGTTGCCACCAAGTCTTGCTGCAGGTCTTTTGCAGTCACTCAAGGGTTTTTCCCAACCAGCCTTCTCAGAACTCTAGCTGCAGCTATTAATAGCTTACATCCAGGTAGTGTAACTACTGTTCCTTCAACTTTGAACTTGCGAGCTATGCTTCCAAAGGTGTCTTTATGAACATTCAGTGCCTTCGCTATATGTTTGTATCCTGTTCCTTGTTTGTGAAGGGCGATGATCTCTTAAATTTGTGAACCATTCTTTTGCCATATTTCTAACATGCAGTCAAACATGACACTCAACAAATGCCTAGTCAGTTCGCATATTTCAAACTCCTTGCCAAATGTCACAGCAAGTTGCATAATTTATTATTACACTATGGAATATTGCTATTTAATATATCTTGTGTAATACATCAATAATTTGACCCCTGGGTAAAAGACAAATGGCAGAGATAAATTGTTCTTTTGATCAAAAGGGGCTTCTGTAAGGTGTGAAAAAGATTGCCCTTTTGATCTATCAAAGGCCCTGCAAGGTGAGACATTTTACACTTGAGCTGCCTGTATGTCTAGTTTCAATGCAAACTAACTGACTTTGACCATATGGCCTGAAACTCTCAATTGGCCAATCCTTTGATATGGTAATGGTATTAGTTTCATGAAGAACCTGGTGGTCCAGTATCATATCCAAAATAAACAGTAATACTTACCCACAGCTTAATAATTAAACCTCATTTTTATTATATTTGGAATGGGACAAGCCCAATCTTTTAAATAAGCCTAAACATGAGTTGCACCTGGGGCAGAAGTGTTACTTTGAAGAGCTGAGTAAGTGATTAGGATTTCTATCATTTTATCTTTTTTGTTTTTTATCTGTTGTTGGTGTAAATAATTTGTTTATCATATATTTTTGTGTGCAATGTGACTATTTTTTTGCTCATAATAAACATTCATTTATTAAGTTCTGCCTTTGTCTGGTTAAGAATCATGTTACCTGAAGAGACTAATTAGTATTTTGCAATTACATAGATAGTGTGTTAAGTAATATTTGGTGGGTTTTGATTATTGATTTACCTGGGGGACCAAGGCACCCCATTTATAAATTGTCTTGGTGGTGGCAGCGTTATAATAGTAATAGTTATAATATTATGCTTAAGTGTGGGTGGTGCTAAGGAGGATTTTGTCATTATTTCCGGTCTAGTGCAGACAAATAGTGAGCTTTAATCCTTTCACCACCACAACTACGTCATGCACACTGTTGAAGTAGGGTACGTTCGTGACACCAAACTCCTAGCCAGTTCTTGATTAGTTGCATCAGGTGTGCTTGAGACATCTGTTTTGCATATCTGTGCTGTTGTGAGTGACTTTTTTAGAGGGTTGAATAATTTTTTTTTTTTTATCCAATCAATTTTTATTGAGATAATAAAGTACGTGGGAAACAGAGGGAAAGAAGGATAACAATCAAGGTTTTACATTCCTCCCATATCAATGCTCTCGTCAATTACCTTGGGTAGAAAACAATAGTAACAAGCAACTTTTAGTGAACTGTGTCAAGCCCTCCATGAGCGCCTTCGTGAGATGAGGCATTTAGTTTTGGGCTGTCAACCTGGTAGAATGCTCTTCTTGTCTCTTGGTTTCTCATGTGTGTGCAAGAGTGTATGCTATGTACATAGTTGGAGTGTGTTGATCAGCGCAAGTCAGGGTTCAGTTCGGTGTCTTGGTGGGGATTCTCTCTGGTTCGTCCGGTTAGGGGGGGTGACCTCTAGTTAAGGGGCCGAGCTGGTGGACAGTCATGGGAAGCCGCTGGTGTACTGGTGCTGGGTGGGGTGTGTCAACTCCCTGTCCGTCGCGTCCAGTTTGCTATGGTTGCATGCTCGTCGAGTTGGTCAGGGTACTCAGTGTGGGATGTCCGCCTGTCCCCCCCGTTGGACCTGTCTGTATTCCCCACCCAGGGTTTGGCTCCAGGAGCTGTCCACCTCCAAAGTGTCCCCCCCCTCCCTGGCCCCACCCCCGACCACCTGTCCGGGCCATGGGTTCCCCCTATCCCCTGACCATCAAAGTCCTGCCAATGACCTCCTGACTGGGGGGAAAGAAAAAGGTGTGCAGTGGGAAAGGAAGAGAGAAGAGAGGAGGAGGGGGGGGGGAGGGGAGGCTGGTAGGCGGACTCCTGTATCTCATATGATCACTGGAGGGGCGGATCTAGAGCTTCCCTGGTTCTCCGCTACCCAGTGGCAGCCGTTCCTGCAGTTCCTCTCTGGGCTATGTAGGTGCACCAAGGGAGCCAGGTGATAGCACATTTGTCTCCCGTGCCGTGTAGTGATGCCGAGAGGGATTCCATACTGTAGATGTCCTCCACACGTTCCATCCATTGCTCCATCGACGGTGACTCCGTCGCGCGCCATTTGGTGGGGATGAGGGATTTTGCCGCATTTAGTAGGTGTTTGGTCAGGGAGCGTTTGTATGTAGCTATAGGGCGTGTGGTGTGGTGGAGTAGCATCGGCAAGGGCTGGAACGGTAGGTCCGGGTCCGCGATGCTTTGAATTTTAGAATGAATTTGCTTCCAGTACTGCTGAATTGTAGGGCACGACCACCATATATGGTAGTCTGACCCACCCTCGGCTCCGCACCTCCAGCAAACGTCAGGGGTTTCTCGGTTCATGCAATGTAGTTTCGCTGGGGTTCTATACCAGTTGACCATAATCTTGTAGTTAAGTTCCTGCAGTTTTGAACTGAGCGTGCCTTGGTGTGTTAGCACGTGGATCTTCTCCCATTGTTGGTCCGTCAGTGTTTGGTCTGTCGCTTGTTCCCAGCGGGACATATATCGTGGTGGTGCGCGTGGTGTGGCGGTAAGCAATAGGGTGTAGAGTCGTGTGATTCCTTTCAGTGGTCGATCCCTGGCCGCACACATGTGCTCAAAAGTGGTTAGGTCTCTATGAAATAAATGTTTGCCCACCGTGGTTCGGTAGAAATGCTGAATCTGATGATGGCGGAACCTGGTCATTAGAGAGATGGTGCCGTCTGGGATCAGTTCCCTCAGTGTTTTCAGTCCCGTTGCGGCGCATAGCTGTTTCATGTACGTCCAGTCCGGGTCCCCGAGTCCCAACACATCCCCCGGTCGTAGTCCGTCAGCGATATCTGGGTTATGGGTAATAGAGGTCAGAGGACCCGGCGTTGTAGTGAGGCCGTCCTTGAGGCGAGTGGCAGTCCAAACCTGCGTCGTGGCCCTGATAAACGGGTTGTGGGTCATTCTAGGGTCCTTTAGGGGGTGCGCTGTCCATATCGCGGCTGGCAGCCTTCGATCCACTTGTACGTTCTCTAGTTCCCTCCATAGCTTGTCTGAGTTTAGTGTGTGCCAGTCCACCAGCCGAAGCAGGTGGGTGGCCCTGTAGTAATGGACTAGTGAAGGGAGGGCTAAGCCCCCCATCCTCTTGGGCAGCGACAGGAGCGCCCCGTTAACCCTAGGTCGTCCCGTCTTCCACACAAATTTTATCATCGCCGTATTCAGCGTCTGAAAGAAGGTCCTGGGTATCATAATTGGAACGGTCTGGAAGAGGTAAAGAAGCCGCGGAAGAAGGTTTAGTTTTAAGGCATTGATTCTCCCGAACCATGAAATGCACAGGCCGCCCCAAGTCGTCATGTCGTGCTGTAGTGTGCGGAGAATGGGGACAAAATTCTCCTGGAATAGGCGCTTCGTGTCTCCGGTGAGCCATATGCCAAGGTATTTGAGCTTATCCGCACACCACTTAAATGGGTACTGTGTCCGTAGGTGAGTCGTGTCTGCGGTAGTTAGGTTTAAAGGGCAGGCTTCCGACTTCTCAGCATTGAGTTTAAGGTTGGAGAGCAGGCCGTACTCCCGGAACCTTGCTAGTAGGTTCGGGAGAGAGATGAGTGGGTTGGCCAGAAAGAAGAGGAGATCATCCGCGTATGCCGCGACTCTCTGCTCCAGACCTTTATAGGCGAAGCCCGCGATTCCCCCATCCCGTCTGACCGCCCCCAGGAATGGTTCCAGGGAGAGGGCAAACAGGAGGGGGGACAGCGGGCACCCCTGTCTTGTGCCGTTACGGATGTTGAGTGGCTGTGTTAGGGCCCCATTGATGCGCATACGGGCTGTTGGTGTCGTATAAAGGGCAGCTATCCAGGTCATCATATGGGGCCCGAATCCCATCGTACGGAGCGTTGCCAGCATGAACCCCCAGTCCACCCGATCGAACGCCTTCTCGGCGTCGGTCGAGAGGAGGAGGACCCCCCTCCGGCTGCTCCCCGCCAGGTGGATCACGTTGAGGGCCCTGATGGTGTTGTCGCGTGCCTCCCTGCCTGGGATGAATCCCACTTGATCCGGGTGCACCAGGTCCGGCAGTACGCGCCCCACCCGTAGGGCCAGTATTTTAGTGAACAGTTTCAAGTCAGAGTTGAGTAAGGAGATCGGCCTATAACTAGAACAGTTCGTCAGATCCTTTCCGTCTTTTGGGATAAGAGAGATAGTGGCAGCCAGTGTATCTCTCGGGAGGTGGCCGCCTTCTAGTAGGTGATTCAGGGTTCCCAGGAGGTGTGGCAGCAGGATGTCTTGAAACTTTTTATAATATGCCGCGGGGAGGCCGTCAGGGCCTGGCGCCCTGTGGGCTCTGGCGATCTTAAGAGCATATTTGAGTTCCTCCAGGGAAATGGGTTCCTCCATGTCAGCCCTTTGGTCGTCCGTGAGAGTCCGTGAGATATGTTGTTCCAGGTAGTGCGCGATATCGGTTTCACGCCTCTTCCGGGCTGCTGCTCCTCGCGTTTCTGGGATGTTATATAAGTCCGTGTAGAAGTGGTGGAAGGCCGTCGCTATTCCGTCTGGGCGTTGAGTGAGCACGCCAGTCTGGTCCCGGATCTTGGTTATGTGTGTGAGTCTCCGTTCCCTTTGCAGGCGCCTGGCCAGGAGCCTCCCGCATTTGTCCGAGTATTCATAGAAGTGTCGTCGAGATCTGCGAATGGTTCGGAGAAGGCCCTGCGAGAGCAATTGCTTGAGGTTTCTCCGCGCCTCCAGGAGTTCTCTGTAGGTATCCTCTGAGAGGGTAGATTTATGTAAAGTTTCGAGGGTTGCCACTTGTTGTGCCAGGTCCGTGACTGCTTGCCTTTGGGCCGTCTTCCGTTGGGTACAATAACGTATGAGATGGCCGCGGATCATACATTTATGAGCCTCCCATATCATCGGTGGTTCCACGTCTGGGGTGGTGTTCTCCTCAAAGTACTTCTGCAGTGCGTCACCCATCTCCACTGTCACCTCCAATTCCTCCAAGACCTGCTCGTTGAGCCGCCACTGCCTCTCCCGTGGCCTGTACAGCGGGGAGGCGATCTTAGTCCAGACCGGAGCATGGTCCGACCAGGTTGCCGTGTGGATCCCACTGGAGTGCAAGAGCGAGAGGTATTCAATGGGGAGGAAGATATAGTCCAACCGACTGTAGCGACTGTGGACCGTAGAGTAGTAGGAGTAGTCCCTCCTCTGTGGGTGAACCACTCGCCACGAATCCGCCAACCCCGCGTTCTTGAGGGCCACCAGGGCCTTGCGTTGGTAGGAAGCCGGTAGTGAGCTAGTTCCTAAGGAGGTGTCTAGCCGTGGGTCCAGGGCTAGGTTAAGATCCCCCGCCAGGATCAGCAGGCCCTCTCTGAAGCGGTCCAGGGCATGTAAGGTGCGTGTCAGGAAGTGGTGCTGTGCCGTATTGGGTGCATAGACACATGCCAGGGTATACTGATGTCCGGCAATCGTGCCTTTCACGAATATATAGCGGCCTTCTGGGTCCGCCAGCTCAGCTTGGCTTTGGAAAGGCACTGTGCGGGCGATGAGAATTGCCACCCCCGACTTTTTGGCATGTGGGTGGTTGGCAAAGTATCCCGTTGGGAAGCGGGTGTCTCACAGCGTCGGTGCATTTCGCCCCTGGAAGTGAGTTTCCTGGACGAATGCCAGAGACGCGCGTGCCGCCCACAGGGTGCGGAGAAGGTGTGAGCGCCGTTCCGGGGCGTTTAGGCCCCTAACGTTGTTCGACCACAAGCAGAGATCCGCCTGCTGAAAGTGACCTGCCATCGTCCTTGGATATGGGGCGTGGGGGGGAGGTTAAACCGGTAGCTGTAAGGAGGAGCGTAGAGGGAAAGGGTGAAGAACGTAGTAGAGAAAGAGAGGGAGTAAAAAGAAAGAGAGAGGGGTGGGGTCTGAGAGGGAGGGCCAGTCAGGAGTCAGGTCCCGGTGTAGGTCAGGTCCCGCAACCAGGAGTCAGCCCCAGGTCCCCTGTCTCACCCACCCCCGTCCCCGCACCTCGTCCTAGGTGTGTGGTGCCGGTCTTGGCTCGACGCACTTGGTGTGTACCTGGGGGGTCGGTCCAACTGTCGACAGTCGTCCCCAGGTCGCACCGTAGGAGTCTGTACAGGTGTGCGTCTGCCCGTGGGGCGTGTCTGTAGTCAAGGGTTCGTTATCTTGTCGTGTGTGTTACTGTGGTATCCTCAGCCGTCCATGGCCGTCACCGCCCTACCAGGAAGTGTAATCCCCGTAACCGAATACTGTGAAGGTGCGGGCAATATGTCAGACTAATTGTGTGAGAGCCTTGTGGATAGGTCTATGACCCAGGAGGGACCCAATATCTGCATCGTAAGCACACCCCGTGCCCCCTCCAACTCTTATATGATCCCCTTCCGGGCTTACCATGCGGGCCAGTGCCCCCCACCCACCCCCCAAGACCCACAGGCCCCCCCCAACCCCCACCCCCCCAGCGGCACCGGACACCCTCCCAAGGTCACAGTCCTCAGCTCCAGTCCAAAGCATAGTGTCCCATGCAGCAAGCCGCCCCCACCCCACCCCCCCCGCCCCCACCAAGAGCGAGTCCCACGGTCCACCCCCCCAAACCCCCAACATCCCAGTCCAATGGTGCCTCCAGGCCGGTGCCCCCCGGTGGAGCCAGAGAGGGGGGAAGGACACGAGGGACGGGGAAGGGCGAGGGAGGGGGAGGAGAGGGAAGAGAGAGGGAAGGGGGGAAGGGGCGAGGAAGAGAGGGGAAGGGAAGGGAAGGGAGAGGGAAGGGGGAAGGGCGAGGGAAGGGGGGGGGGGGAGGGCGAGGGAAGGGGGGGAAGGGCGAGGGAAGGCGAGGGAAGGGGGGGGAAGGCCCACCAACCGCTACAGTTCATGCAGAGGGGCCACGGGGCGCCCGCCCCAACGCAGGGTCAAGGTTCCACATCACTCCTCTGCCCCCGCTGGTCCTCCCCAGCGGCGCGGCGGGGACATCCGGCCCAAGTGGGTTGCAGAGGGCTGCAGGCCCGTGTCCTCTCCCCTTCGAGGGCCCAGCGGTTCATCCAGCAGCCAGTTGCGAATCCGGATAGGGGGAAGGTGAAGTGCCCGAGCGAATCTCGGGGCATCATCTGGCATCCTGAGTGTGTGCCAGGAGGATCCCTGTCGGGCTTGGAGGCTGAAGGGGAACCCCCACTTGTAGGGGATCCCCTTGTCACGCAGGGCTGCTGTGATAGGCCGCAGCGCCCTCCTGGCGTCCAGTGTGAGGCCGGAGAGATCCTGGAAGAGCGCCAGATCAGCTCCCCTGAAGGTGACTGTCGGTAGGTTCCTGGCTGCCGCCATGATCTGCTCCTTCTGCGGGAAGGAGTGAAGACAGCACACCACATCTCTGGGTCTGCCGTCCGGCCTAGCTTGTCCCAAGGCGCGGTGGGCCCGGTCGATGCGGATGATGGGCGGCGCGTCAGGACCTAAGAGCTGGCAGAAGAGCTGTTGCAGGGTGGTCGCCAGGGGTTCTGTGTCAGGCTCCGGCAGGCCCCTGATCCGGACATTGTGCCTCCGGCTGCGGTTCTCCAGGTCCTCCACCTGGCGTCTGAGGCTCAGCAGCATATTACCCTGTCTGGTGGCCGCTGTCTCTGCTGCTCGGTGTTGCTGGCAGCAGATCCGTGCTTCTGCCTCCACTGTGTCCACCCGCTCCGTGAGGGCCATGAGGTCTGTGCGGAGGCCCCGCAGATCCTCCCGGACCGCCTCCCTTATCTCCCGAACCAGGGCCCCCGTGTCTGCTTTGGTGAGCATGCTGCTCCCTATCCTCGTGAGCTCAGCCCTGATGGAATGAAGGGCATCGTCGGGGCTGAAGTCGGGCATGGAGTCCCCCCCCGCTGGTTGCACTGGGGGAGACAGCCGCCATATTGTCAGAGGGCGCCGTGCCCCGGAGCCCGGCCGGGGTGCTGAGGAAGTCATCCAGGGTGCCCGTGCCGCGTCTCGGTGACCCCGGGGGCATGCTCCCAGCGCCGGTATGCTTCTTGGTCCGCACCATCGCTAGCTATAAGGGGGTAGAATGCTGATTATGGCGGTTTGGGCCTAGGAGCTCGGCTAGTGTGCGACTGGCGCCATCAACGTCCAGGCCACGCCCCGAGGGTTGAATAATTTAATAATAATAATGCACAATAGCCTCCCAATAATGATCTTAACCAAGGGGGTGGTGTGTGGGCAGAGCCAACTGCGATGGACCTTTGCAGTAAACTCACCTTTTTAACCGGAGTAAGGGGTGCCGGGGGCCTAAACTGTTATTTTAAAACTATAGTGTCAGCAATACATGTTTATATTCCTGACACTATGATGTTCCTTTACATATTGCCCATTGTGGCAGAGTTGTTAATCTCCTGGAGTCAGTGCTGCACTGCACTATCTTCTAGCATGGACCTGGTAAACTAGAATATAAGCTCATTGAGCAGGGCCCTCCACCCCTCTGTTCCTGTACGTCCAGTTGTCTGGTTAAAATTACATATCTGTTAGTCCACCCATTGTACAGCGCTACAGAACCTGATGGCGCTATAGTAATAATAAAATAATAAATAATAATAATAATAATAACTGCATTGGCTTTAATATGAATGCATTAGTATCAAAGTCTTCCTTCTTGTATCTCACTCATGTAATAATTGTGTGATTGTTACATTCTTTACATTACATTCTTGTTGTAGAAACAATAGGGCCTCTGAGCAACTACAAAGTGTAGGACGGCTATAGTTTAACAAAACAAATAAAAAATAAGAGAATACGTCAAGCTGCTCAGTTAAACTTGCAAAACAGAATCAAGGACAAGGGAAAAAATAATCCTGAAACACAAGCAGACCTAAGGTTATAAATCAACTTGTAGTGCAAAATTCAAAAATCTTGTTTCAAGGTTTAGGAAAATCACCAAATCATTTTATACTTAAAGAACCACTCCATACCACATAAGCACTTCAGCTTTTTTGTGAAATCAGCACTATTATAAATTAACTAGGTAACTCCCCCCTGGCTGTCAATCAAACAGCTAGGGAGGATTCCTACCTACACCCGTTAGCTCCCCTGAGCTAATGGAAGTAGCAGGCATGCTCTACTTGAGCATGCCTACCTCTCCCTCCCTAACAGATCTCAGACCAGCTCCTCAGCTTCAGACGTGCACGCGCATGCATAAGCCAGGGTGTGCGCTTGCACGTGGGCGCCAAGTAAGATGATTCTGAATGAGAAAGTCTCTTCCAGGAAAAAGGGGGAGGACTTGCTAAGGCTGCAGTTCATAAGATAACCTTTGCAAGCTCTTTTAAGATATACCTCCAATGAATACATGCATGAAAAATATTTTTTTTTACTGTGTAGCAATGGAGTGCTCCTTTAATCCAAAGTCTCATCTATAGTTAGAGGGTAATTAGTGAAATCCCCTGGGTAGATGGCTGACATACAGAGAAAATAAACAGAAGATAGGCAAGGGGAGCACTAATCTGTGCCTTTGAAGGTACCCCTCTAAATACACTCCACCCCCTTAATAGCTTGTTCAGAGTTTATCTCTATAAAGAATGATAACTACAGATGAAGTACATAATAACTAAAACAAAGATTAAAAGCAAAAGAGAAAAAGATTGTGTGGGGTTTAATAGTATATTGTCATATCCGAGTGAAGTCGTCCCTAATGGTATGAAAACTTCCACACAACTCTGGGACTGGCCCACACAGAGCCCTGACCTCAACCACATTGAACACCTTTGGTATGAACTAGAAAGGAGATTGTGAGCCAGGCCTTCTCGTCCATCGTTGGTGCCTGACCTCACATATACTTGATAAATGGGCAAAAAATCCCACAGAAACCTTGCAGAAGCTGTAATAGCTGCAAAGGGGAAGTGTTTAGAAACAGCAGGAACTCAGCCACGATGTAAAGTCACAAAGCGGGGTCACCGAGTGCTGTTAATGTCTATGTATTGAGAATGTGATGTCATAAAAGTGCATGTTTGAGTAATGATCAGGTGTCCCATTACATTTGTCTATAAAGTGTATCTGCAGCATATTTTGCCACTGCCATGTTGTAAAGGATTATTACACAATAATTGTGTCCGAGTAAAATACTATCATGATTAACATACAAAGCCTTGCCCTCTTAAGGATAGAAGCAATTATCCAACTACTGAACCAAAACAAAATCTAGAATTTATGCTATGTATGTTCCACCATACTTTAAAGGTTTGTCTTTTGTAATATATTGTTTTTTAAAGGACAGAACTGGCTTTCTTTTAATATCCTATATGTATACTAACACAACATTGGCTAAGCATACAATGTTACAAATTGGGGAAAAAAAATAAATACATTTTTACAAAAAAAGTTTTACTTATGATCATTTTTACACATTAAAGAAAAATATCTAAAAATAGATTCATGTATCGGTCTTGTTAAATGCACTATGTCTAGGGTGCAGTTTTGGTAGTTAACGCAAACCGTATACTAACCAGCACCAATCACTGTTTGGGGGGTGGCAGGCAAGCATACCCTGGGGTTCTCGCTCTCTCTGGGAGCAAGCTAATCTCTCAGCCCTGGTGACTTAAATACATTCTAATGGCTGTATGCAGTGCCGTGTCAGTCTGGGATCACTAAATATGACCCCAGCTGACAGATGGCAGCCTAA